GAGTAAAAGTCTTAAAGTATCTGATATTTTTTGTACATAAGCATCAAAAGTAAATTTCTGACACAAAATCTACTTAAGTATTAAAAGTAAAAGTACTGAGTAAAAGTGAGCAGTTAGATTTTCCAAAATGACATTTATTGGGAGGTGACTTCTCCAAAAAACATTTTTTCTAACGGCGTACAGCTGTGATGGGTTGTGTACAAGCTAATAGGTTGTCAGAATGGTATATACTGTATTTATACTTCTCATCCAACCACAATTAAATTCACTCTATCCAGGAGACACAAATTATCAAGACAGTATTTTTAAGTAATAACAACTTGCAACAAAATAGGAGTAATGACTTTCTACTTCTTCCCTTTTTAAAAATGTAGTGAGTAGAAAGTACAGATAATTGTGTAAAAATGTAATGAGTAAAAGTAAAAAGTATGCTGAAAAATAATTACTCAAGTAAAGTACAGATACCCAAAAATTCTACTTAAGTACAGTAACAAAGTATTTGTACTTAGTTTCTTTACAACTCCTAACGTTGACCTAATAAAAGGACTGTAAACAATGCAAGGAGTTGATTTTTTTTCCTTGTCAACAGGTTCAAGTTTACTCAAGAAAATAACAATCTATCATCATGTGTGCATCTGTGTGTGTATGTTAGGTGGCACTATATCTGCTTTTGCCAAAATCTGCAACTCTTCTTCCAAATCAATGAAGCCCAAGTTCAGTGTGGTCCAGAGAACAGTGTACCGTGCTGGAGTATCCACTAAAACCAGCAGTAACGTCCTATTCAAAAGTGTTGGGGACACCATTGGACCAAATTCTGAGGCAATAACATCCTGTAATATTGAGATTCCTACCTCTGCCATCTGCAGTATTGATAACTGTGATATTATCTCAGTGGATCATCTCCTCAAGGTAATTAAACTACCGGTAGATTTTCTGTGAATTCAGCTGTAACAGTTCTGTACAAGGCATTTTGAGCTGACTGATTTTGCCTCTGAATTTCTCTTTTTCCTAGGTTTATTTAGACATTAGTTTCCGTATTGATCCAGAGGTGGTGTTTCCTCTGCTCGTGGTTCCTTTTAGCTTGACTTTTCCTTGTGAGGAGGCGGGGCCTTACCCACCTGGTGCTTTTGGGGGCCAGAGTTACAGTGACTTCCCAGCTCCTCTCTACTCAAATCCTGTCCCTGCAGGCTCAGCTGTTTGTGAATACCCAGCACCAGTGCCAACTCAGCCAGTAAACCTAGCAAGTGGCTTTAATGAGTGGCCACAAGATGCCCCTCCATATGGGTTTTCAACTGCAGCTTATACACCTCAGTATCCAGCTGTGCCAAATAATCAGCAACCAGAAGAGCAACCCCCATCATATGTGTCTCTTTTCTCACCGCCAGGACAGTGACGCAGATCAAAAAAAAAATTTTAAAGTAATTTAAGCTCCATCAATATATGTATATGCCTCTTTTTCTGACCACCACAGCAGTGGCAGGAGTGACACATTAAAATAAAAATCTTAAGTAACTTCATCTCTTAATACTTAGAATATGTCCTTTGCAGCCTGAGTGGCATATCAATAATTTCTGACTCGCCAAATTGATTTTGTCTTCAGCTTAAAGTATATTTTTAATTTTAGACTAGCAAAAAATTAGGCTACATTTTGTACATTTTTGCATGTGTATGTATGAAGGATTCATGACAGCACGTATAGTCAAAAGACTTTTTTTTTTTGTAGTTTTGTCTTTAAAGTAAAACTATGTTGTGAGATTTTATACAGTTGAGATTTGATCAATAATTTAATAATAATAATTTACTAGAGCCGCTGCTCCTCCACATCGAGAGGAACCAGTTTAGGTGGTTTGGGCATCTTGTAAGGATGCCTCCCTAGGGAGGTGCTTCAGGCATGTCCAACTGGGAGGAGACCCCGAGGAAGACCCAGGACACTCTGGAGAGACTATCTCTCTGCTGGCCTGGGAACGCCTTGAAGTCCTCCCAGAAGAGCTGGAAGAGGTGGCTAGAGAAAGAGAAGTCTGGGCTTCCCTGCTCAAGCTGCTGCCCCCGCAACCCAACTTCAGATAAAGCAGAAGATAATGGATGGATACATGGAATTTAATAATCTAGAAGACAACTAGTTGTTTGTTAGACTTTCTCTTTCAAATGACAGTATTTATTAATGAAGTTAAATGGTAATATTTCAATGTGTGTAGTTTTACTAATTATATTTTAGAAAATAAACAGTAGAAAAATACGTTTTATGTGATTTTAATACTTTTTGAATGCAATATAATAACAAATAAAGCATTGTTTACTTTTTTGGCAGATAAATTGTCCCTCACATATATCTGAACTTCAGGTTTGACGTTTCTTTTTTTTCCCCTAACTTTGCTCTTTATTTTCAGAATAAGCCATATATTTTTCTGCATGCAGAGCATCATATCAGGGTTAATACGATGTAAACAAACCCATGACTTCAAATTTGACATTTCTTCCATTCAGCGTTGTAAAGTAACTTAAGTACAAATACTTTGTTACTGTACTTAAGTAGAAATTTTGGTTATCTGTATTTTATTTGAGTAATTATTTTTCAACATACTTTTTACTTTTACTCATTACATTTTTACACAGTTATCTGTTCTACTCACTACATTTTTTAAAAAGGTAAGAAGTAGAAAGTTGTTACTCCCATTTTATTCCAAGTTGTTATTACTTAAAAAATACTATCCTGATAAATTGTGTCTCCTGGATAGAGTGAATTTAATTTTGGTTGGATGAGAACTATAAATATATATCATTCTGACACACTATTAGCTTGTACACAACCCATCACAGCTGCATGTCGTAAGAAAAAATGTTTTTGGAGAAGTCACCAATTAATGTCATTTTGGAAAATCTCACTACTCACTTTTACTCAATACTTTTACTTTTAATACTTAAGTAGATTTTGTGTCAGAAATTAAGTACAAAAAATATCAGATACTTTAAGAC